TAAAAAAGCATGACTTTAGTAACATACTGTCAAAATGAACAGAGCTTGCAAATTTTTTATACATCTTTAAATCATTACAGCAAAGTTTATAAATATGAGTTATTTACTGCGTTTCATGACACGTTAGAAATATGTTGATGAGTGGATAAAGGTCATCAATCATCAACAGCCTATAAATGCCCACTGCTGAGCAAAGCCTCTTCTCACACGGAGATGTTTTAAGCATTAATCGCCACGCTTGCTTAATGCGGGTTGGCGATTACAAACTTATAATTAGAAATTATAAGCCCAGGTTTCCTCACGATGTTTTCCTTCACCGTTTGTCAGTGGTGTCTAAATAATCTTAGAAAGTACATATAACTCGGAAAAAGTCACATTGGTACTTGCCGTTGGTAGGTTTCGAACCCGCACTCTCGTGCATGAGAAGCGGGCGTCTTATACCTACGGGCCACCACAACTAAAGACAAGCGGATAAAGGTAATTTAGATAATTATGACAAACCACTGCAATATCCTTGTTACATATGACTTCTAATTTGAGTGCTAATATATGCAATGTTGTTGGTGAGTTAGGCAATGTATTACTGTCTTTTGTAAGACAGGACAATGTCATTAAGTTATTGTCAAACTGTGAATTTTAAGGCTAAAGGTGCACTTTCATTTAAGAAAATGAAAACAAAAAATAATATGTTCTAAAATTAATATTCTACGCGAACGCGCTTCACTGACAGAAAGACGGACGGACAATTCAATTTTTAATGTTTCAACAGTGCCTAATTAAGCATTAAGTGAAATAAATGACTATGACTTAAAACGAAGTCGCGGGCTACAGCTAGTGTAAAATAAGAATGAGCTTTGACCAGAATATAGTAATATTAAAAAAAACCGGATACTGATCACCAATTACTTAGATTATTCGACAAAGATTCGACCAAAGAGCTCCGTTCTATTGTTTTTGCATTTTCCAATGGGCGACAGGCACGACATTATATTACGTAATCAACAAATCCCTCGAAAATTTTTACTTTAACACCTTATAAAAACTCCAAAGATCATTTTCTTAAGAAGGGCCAATTAAAATTAATATGTTAAGTATTTAGGTCACATTACTCACAATTTTTCTAAATTCCCTCACATTTCTAATGGCCCCATTAAATATATAAGGCAACGATAATTAAGTAAATGTTTAGGCGAGCCAGTATGCAATGACCATAAGAAGCATGGTTGCGCGCGCGCATAGCGAGGGACGCACCGACTGTGACTCACCAGTCATCGACCTTAAAAATGTAGATTGAGGCAATAACCATGATAAGTTTACATTTTGTTTACATTGTCTTGTCTTGACGCATTGTTTTAGTTAGTTAGTTATTTTTACTTACAGTAGACAAATTCCTTACATAACGCCTTTTATCCCTGAAGGGGTAGGCAGAGGTGCACAATTTTTTTAAGGGGAGGAAAATCAATGAATGTCTGCCTCGGTGAGGCGGGAGGGAGTGTCAGACTCTTACTGACTAAAAACCACCCCGTTCCTTCTCCTGCACGTCGAGCCGGAGCCCCGGTTACCCGTTAGGTTCTCCCCTTCCTCAACCTCCCCAATTCCTGAATTCCCAACGATTCTCAAATTCCTAATGTTTATGGGCGACGCCGATTGCTTACCATCAGGTGATCCGTCTGCTCGTTTACCGGCTTATCCCATAAAAAAATAGTTAAAGAATGCAACCTTCAGAGATTCCTAGACAAATCACAAGAGATTTTCCACATTTTAACTAAAACAATGAAAACTGTGGTACAAAACGATCACAATTTTCTCTATATTATAAGTGTGTAACGTATTATCATTATCATGGCAGTTCATCGTCCCCTTCAATTCGATCGGCAGTGAACTCGTGATTGTAGGTTCAACTATTTTTTTTTTTTTTTTTTTTTTTTTTAAGGGGGGAAAATCATCGAATGACTGCTCCCGCCTGGGTGAGGCGGAAGGGAGTGTCAGACTCTTACTGACTAAAAACCACCCCGTTCCTTCTCCTGCACGTCGAGCCGGAGCCCCGGTTACCCGTTAGGTTCTCCGCGACTCCGAATCGGCATCGGCCCTATTGGGCCCCATCTGTGGTGGTCTGATGGCTCTTTGAGGCGCGCGCGGAACGCGACGCGCCGTACGCTCGGGTCTGTTTCTGGTCGGACGGGGAGCCACCCATGCTCGCCGTCCGCAGGCCCGCGCTTACGGTGGCCGGAGATCGTCCCGCGATCCCCGACGCCCGGTGTGTCCTTCGCGATGGCTGGGTCGCGAGGAGGCAGCGCTTCGCTGCCTCACGCGTCCCGCCTCCTCCTTAGCTAGCATGACTGCTTCGCAAAAGGAGGAGACGGCATCCCAGTCCCCCTCGCTCCGCATCATGGCCTGCACTAGGCCCGGACGCGAGAGGTCGCCATCGCCGATCACTTCCCTGAGGGCACGGCGGTGCTCAGCCCACGCAGGGCATTCCGCTACGGTGTGTTCCACCGTGTCCTCAGGGCGGTCCTCGCAGTGATGACACCCGGGCGTTTCCTCCCGCCCCATCAGACACAGGTACCTCCCGAAACTTCCATGTCCGGTGAGGACCTGCGTCAGGCGGTAGGTGAGGACGCCGTAGCGTCTCTCAAGCCACTCCTCAAAGAGGGGACTTACCGCTGCAATGGCAGCGAGCCCAGCCCTTGGTTGCGACAGTCGTTGCTGCCATTCCGCCATGAGATCGCGCCGGAGCTCATCCCGCCACGCACTTATCTGGCGCGGCAGCGGAGTTTCGCCCCGGCGACGTGCCTCCGCGCGCATGTTATACACGCGCGCGAGCACCTTCGCCTCCAGATCCCACGGCGGTAATCCGGCAAGGAGGTTCGCCGACTCCCCAGCGATCGTGCGGTATCCGCGGATCATTCGGATCGCCATGACCCTCTGTGACTTGAGCAGCGTCCGAGCAGGACGCCGCAACAGGTTCAACTACCTTAGGAACCATTACTGTCACATTCAATTAGACACCCTGACGCGATGGCCATGTCATTATTTCTATAGTGGTGGCGATATAAAAATGAAAATGTACAAAATATATTGTTTCTAATGATCAAGGTCACTCAATTATAAGATGTTCTCAACAATACTTCTGTCACAACCAATCTTATACTATCTTATACTTACTATTATATAAAGCGGAAGAGTTTGTTTTTTGTTTATTTGTTTGAACGCGCGAATCTCCGTAACTACAAGTCTGATTTGAATAATTCTTTTTGTGTTGGATAGCGCATTTATTGAGGATGGCTATAGGCTATAAAACATCACGCTACGACCAATAGGAGCTGAGCAGAGCGTGTGAAACCGCGCGGAAGTAGCTAGTTAATGATAAAACATAGCCAACTTAGCGAAGGCTTCTAAAATCGATACTTCAAAGAATAGTTAATAGAAAAACTAAGTAATTATAGTCTAGTGTTTTATTTGGACGTTTTTAGGGGCGGACATTGAGGAGTTGAAGGTCAAATCGATTGGTCAACATTTTAAACGCATATTGTTGTTGATTTAAGTTGGGAATCGATACATATGGCGTGAATACTTATAAGAAAATCCTTCAGAATTGGTAACGAGTTTAAAATTTTAATAGAATGTACAGGTCAGGGTTATTTTCCGATTGACAGGCTGTAATTTATCAGAATTGTCGTCAGAATTGCCGAGTTTTTTTTTGTTTTAATGGGAATCAAATGAGTGTCAGTAATTAAATGTTCTTTTATAATAGATTTCGGATAGAAAAACGAAATAGGTAAAACTCTATCTAACAATTTTTGTTGTATTTATGTGAACGTAATTTTTATAGCTAGCTAATCTACTAGCCAAAGAGACTAATAAATACAAAGAAGAATAAAAGGTTGAAATTTTTACTTGACTGGTATAGTAGTATAATGATATTAATAGCTCTAACTAACAGCATTTACTTCGAAAATCGAAAGGTAGTCGAAATGTTAAATTAAATAAGACCTTGGGCTTATGCCATTAAAACTGAAATTCAACAAATTCATGTTTTACAGTTCAAACAAAAGAAACAAACATCAACAACATTGTTGACTATGAAAAAGTTCCATCATGCATGCGAATTCCTTGCAAACTGTATAAACATAGAACTGTGTTGCTGTTTAAGCATCCTGTTTGCAACCACAGGGGTGCGACAGAAAACCATATACGAGAAAAAAAGAAAACATCAGGTCAACGACCTACGACTTGTAGTGTAAAATCAAGATTTTATTGTAAGCTAAATTTTAATTTCGCATGCCACAGATAATATGCGTGTAATAAAGAAGGTAAAGATGGTTTTCAAAATTTAAAAGTAATTTTAAATTGATTCCATAACTTTCAGAGTAATTTGAAAGACAACGTATTAAATAAAAACTTAAATCTCTTACAATCCGGACGTTTTTAAATGTAAGATCTTATAAAAAATGTGTTTTGAAGTTTTAAACAGACTTTTACGTCCAATTTCAATAACCTATCTATCTGTAGATTTGCTTACTAGAGATAGAATTTTCACACATTTTGTATGGAGCTCCTGTCAAAATTCTATCTCTAGCAAGCAAATCTGCAGATAGATAGGTTATTGAAACTGGCTGTTAGGCGATTGTTTTCCATTCCAAAATGCTCGTTTAATGTTCATGTTGGAACACTAATTACTATTGATAAATTGACTGGACTGCCTCGGTGGCCACATGTGCGACGGGTTCGATTCCCGGGTCAGGCAAAGTTTACTGGGGTTTTAAAAAACTCTCAGTAGTACAACGGAGTCTGAAATTGTGCCCGGTATATGGTAATAGGCTCACCCCCTATTACATGAGACTCATAACATAAATAGTGAAAAGCGGGTGTTATATTGTACAGTGGCATAATGTGCACCTCTGCCAACTCTTTGGGGATAAAAGGCGTGTTATGTTATGTTATTGATAAATGATTAATGTAATTTACGCGAACTACATTCACTAATAATAAAATAATACCTTAGGATGTCGAAGAGTCAACCAGCCGTTTCTGATCTCCGAAGGATCAGCGTCATCCAAGGAGATCGAAGATATACTCCGAGGTCCTCTATGCTTCCAGTGTTCTGGATTCCACCAGTTTACGTGATCGAGAGAACGGGATATCCCGCGAGCTTCCATCAGAAGATGGTTGAGAGATAGCACTAATAATACTATTTATTATCAGTATTTTTTTTATTTACAAGACACGTGCACCCTCCCCTGAATTCAAACGTGGAATGAAATAAGGGTTGTTTGTTTGTGCCTTCGGTTGCCTAGCAACGGACCACGTGGAAACCAATGTCACGGCGTTTTGTATGAATAAATCATGACCTTTACGGGAGCGGTGTTAACTTGACCCAGTCGAGAGCTATTATCACTTTACAGTTTTACAAAAAGCTACCTTTAAACTTGATGTTAGAATTCATTTTTGAGTAGATGATGTTTTTTGTAGTCTAAAAATCTCTTAGCATGGATAATGTAGGAATTATAACAGTATTTTTTCTTGTTTGACGTCTTTGTTGATGAAGTAAACAATACTGGGAGCTTCTCAAGTAGCTTGCGGTTTTACGATTGCCTTACACATTCATTGTAGAATTCAATAGAAACATTAATCTATGCTTCGCTTGTTAAGTCTCGTCTTAATTAAACTAATGAACATAAAGGTTTGTCTTTGATATAGCCGCTTTATTTTGTGATGGATCTGGTGATAATGAAGTTTGCTATTATTGATTAACGTCCGAATACTGAAAGGCTATTCAATATTAAGTTTTATTTAAATATCGTGTCGTCTCTGTCAGTTTACAACGAATTCGTAGTGACAGAACTATAGGTACTTAAGCGAGATTTAAAGTTGAGTGACGTTCGAGTATTTGGACATAAGTAGTTCTACTCTCAAATCGTAGGTTAAAAATAAGTTTACGACTACAAGTTTGAAGTTTATATTCGCATTGGTGACATACTTAACTTCACACCTGTCTCCCATGGGGGTAGGCAGAGAGCCAGAGAATATGGGACGCCAATTGCTATGATTTTTGGATAGGTACCTCTTTCGCTTCATCAACAGGTCAATCAGTCTTTTCATGCATGCTCGTCGGTAGAGTACTTTTATTCGTTTTTGGTGACTGTTGTTGGTGATTATATTTAATTTCTTGTTAATGACTATGTTATAAAGGTTACTTGAGTAAAAGGAGGCAGATTAGAGTGATATTAACTACGTAACATGACAGTTGCGATACTTAGTTCATTCGTTAGTGGGCATAGAAATAATACTTTTATATTTTCGTGAACAACGAGCGAAAGTTTCAAACGAAGCGTAATAACAAATATTCATTTATCATCACTTTCTAACTTTCAGCTATCCTTCCTTATACTGCTAACCTTAGTCTTTATCTAAATCTAGTGTTATGATAATTTAAATCTTATCACGTACGTCTTATGCATCACAATGTGATGTACGCCCACGTTAGGCAAGTGGCTAGCCATGTATGTGCAGGTTTGTTGAGACGGTGACTGACTCATGTTTCCTTGTATGGTGCCTCGTTTAGACGAGAATGATGACGTCATAACTTTCCTACTCTGACACCTCTAAAGGTCGCATGAAGGCTCCAAATGAGTATTTACTAAGGTCATAATAATTGGGAAATTGCGTTTAAAAAACTGCAAACTATTTTAAATCATATGTGAATGTTGATAAATGATATATTGGTGTGTGGCGTTTAGCTGGGGTTTTTAACCTTGCTTGCAATTTTTATATGGTAATGTCATTTATGGTCATTGCCTTAATTTTGCATTGAAATCTGTTAATGATGTCGTTCCAAATTGCTGAGTTTTATTAAGACGTTGGTTTCATAAAGGTATTTAATTTGCGATAAATTATACTGTTCACTACTTTACTCAGCTTAATATAATTCTACAACATAAAGCGTAGTAATCAGGTAGTTTATAAGTCTGAGGCTATTAAATAATTCAAAACTTTGTACAATAGAACAAAGTATTTTGTTGCCATAGGTATAAGTATCTATTGTTAAAAAATTCAAACATTGATGTGCAATGTGCAATTTGCATACGGTACATGCTATATACCTCTATACATAAGTAGTATAGTGCTTGAATATAACCATTTAAAAGAGAATATTAAGATAGTATCCAAAATAAACTACACAAGACCTATGTGACCGGATAGCCTAGGAAATAGTACCTATCTACTGACTATTTTATTGCGAAAAAGTTTTTGTATTAGCGTTCAATTTAGTACTAAACAACGTAATGCTTGTACATACTACTGAGATGTCGAATTGAATCAAGTTCACACAAGGCTCGTACACAAAACTGTGATGAGACCTCGCATCACAAAAATGAGCGAGCTCCCTCTACGCATCGCAAGAACTTGCGAATTGATTCGCATCGATCAATGTCTTATGTTTCCAAAATCTTCTTTATTTCTTTTTCCTGTATCTCTTAAGTAATAACAGAAGTGCACACTTCTTTTTACTAGCCATGTCATGACATAGATTACAATTTAAAATACGTTTAGTACGGTTGACGGTCGAAGGAATGGTCCCTGGAAGACGCCTTGTCACACGAAATCGCATCGCAGCAATTCGCATCGTAGGTAATTTTTTGCGTTGCGAATTCGCATCTCACCTCTTCGCAGTTTTGTATACGAGTCCTTACTTATAATACAAACAAACAAAATAAACAAATAGCAACAACAATCTGAATAGATCTTAATCCTTCCACAAGTATTAAATAAATCAAGCAATTATCATCAAGAACCGGTTTGTATCGATATGTCTCCGTCCACCCCTGCACCCTCCCACGCTGGCACTGCTTTAGGCTCTGCACTGCTGCTTGTTGCTCGCAAACGATATTATCTGCCTACTGAATGCTCTTAAATGCAGGTGTTTGTGTTTGTATAGGTTAACTTTGTAAGGTGTTCAAGACTTGTATTGTTCTAAAATAATAATTATGGATACTTTGTAAGATGCTTGTGCGAAGTTTGGCTTCTTTTATTGTAGGTTTTGGCGTAACTATATGTTTAATACGGTAAGTCAAGCCACTTGATATATATGTAAGGACATAAAAATTCATTGTTGTGTGGTTTTCGGAAGGGCGGACGACCTAAACCTAGGTGGCTCAAAGCCGGAGCCTCGGTAAACCTTATTGTGTCGAAATAAAAAGACAGGATGGATGGAATCGGAAATGGAAGATGAAATCGGCTTTAACAAGCACACGTGCCATTGTTTTGTGAGGTATCTAAGTACTGGAGCATTTTACCCAATTCCTTGAGGAGTGGGTGACTCATGCGAGTCGATCGTATCTTAATTGAATAACGATATTGTTCGTAAATAACGATTCACATTTATCTTGCTCCCGACCAATTAAAAGGAGTTCAAACAAGATCGAGTGTAGTGCTTTGATGTGAGGTATGTTATCTAGATACCTTTTGTTTCGAGAAAGCTAGTTGGAAGATCAACTAAGTTGGCAATTTGAAGAGAATCTATAGTTATTGTAATAAGATTTTGATTTCATAAAGTCATAATACCTACCTACGACCTTTTTTATTTCTCAAATGACCTAGATACACTAATTATATAATAATTCCAAGACCAGATAATGACTACAGACACCATTTATCACAAGCCACAAAATTAGAACTTACTTCAATCTAGATAAAAACAACATAAACGTCAACTTAAATAATGGCAGCGAAATAGCCACACCACAAAAAGTCGAATTAGCAAAATAACTAAGAACCATTAACACCAAATCTAAATCAATGGTTTCTTATATAAAATTAGCCCTGATTTTGGTTCTAATTTAGTTTTTATGGCCGTTTAGTTAAATATAGTAAGTGGTAGACAAGCTGTATTTTCGTGGTCTAATTTTAGTATGTCAACGGATGTTGGTAGCGTGCAAATCGAGCACGGAACCTGTAGCACGCTGCCATAATGACTGGTAACCTGCGATAAGGGTAAAGTGGTACATTATGGCCAGTTACAGCAAATTGATTGTGAAGATTTCCATCAAAGTTTGATGTTATTTGAGTTGGCTATAAAGTAAAGTTGTGTTATACAAAGGATTAGGTAGAGGTGGATTGAATAAATAGACTTATTATTAGTTTTATCAGCAGGTACAATCAATACGCTTCTTCCTAAAATAGTATATTCCCTTTAGTTTGCTTAACAGTTCTTCTGGCAAGATGCATACATACATGTATACATACATAACTTCACGCCTGTCTCCCATGGGGGTAGGCAGAGACCATGGAACGCCATTTGCGTATGGGATGACGTACTTACTCCATCGTAGACCGTATCATCGCTTACCACCAGCCGAGATAGTGGTCAAATGTCTGCCCAAAAAATTGCTACGATTCCTATATACCTCTCTCGCTTCATCAACAGTCATCAATCTGTTCACGCATGCTCATCAGTTAAGGGTACTGATTTGGCCCTTCTTTAATATATTGCTAATTTATTTATTTAAACTTTAATGTAGGTACACAAGTGTAGAAACAAGTGATGGAACATAAGGCGGACATTAATACTAATTTCGACAGTATACCTTTAATTGATTATTATTATTCTTAACTAATAGTTAAACTGGGTCAGCAGGATAAATACCTAGTTCACTTAACAGGAAAATACATACAAGTAACATGCACCAATAACACACAAACACAACACGCGATTTAAAAGTATCACGTGTTGTTAATTCAATTTGTTGTTGCTGAATATAAAGGTCGCGACCTTGAGAGGTCAAGGTTAGTCCCTTCCTTGACGTAAATAGCTGTTAAGTCCAAAATGTAGGGAGGTCAATAGTATTTAGTGCTAATCTTGATATTTATTTGGGATAATGTGTTTGTTATTTGCACGAATTAATCCTTGGAACTTGGAAAAGAAAATGGTTTAGTATTTATTAACGGAGTTTTTGAAGAAGGTTATTTTTAATATTACGGCATATCATGACATGTCCGAATAAATAATAAAAGCTACAAATGACCTATTTTGTTGCTAAAGAAAAAATATGAAACCGAAAAATGTATCTAGAGAAAAACAAGTAAAGAATTTCTGATTTTTACAGCTTCGGTGTCAAGTCGTGTCTAAGTAAAATATGTCTAAGAAATAATCATCATC